GGTTTTTCAGTTATAATTAAATTTCAACCTGCAACCTGCAACCTGCACCCTGCAAAATATACCTGCCGCTCGAAACAAGTTTTTTGTTAGCTCCTTCCCATATAACATATATCTTTTAAAGAGCGATATAAATGTGTTACCGTTTATTAAAACATTACGTTTTATGTGGCGGACAAATAACGATTAAGTATGATAGAATAACAACAAAGAGGAGGTAGTAAACTATAATGAAACTTGTCAATGTTAACATACTCCTCACGTCCAATGGTAAATTAAGTGGAATGTAATGTTCGTGATTACAGACCACTTGTAGAAACTCGAATTTGAATTCCAGCATCTGAAAAGCGAAGAAATAAAACCACGTAAGCCAGAAGATGAAAACATAAGTGATTGTAACACAAGTGCAACAGTCACGCCATCGAGCATTTTTCTTCCAAAAAGGGAAAGTATTAGGCAAACATAATAGATGGCATAAAACAAAGAAACCGCTGTAGACCAGCCCAGTTCCAGTGGTTATATAGCTCAGTTGGAAGTGATAAAAGACTGAAAACATTTCATACCTGTGTATCAGAGTCCTTGAACTGTTCAGAATAATAACTGATCATTTGAAAGACAAATCCGCGGTCCAAGTACGTGAAACAGTCCTAAAAAGAGATGCAAAATCAACTGAATGAACCAATGAAATATGTGGTACGGCCCGTCCCGCTACAAGTTGGTTTGTCCTTCAGTTGAGGAGGCGGTCTACTTTTCTAGCTCTTATCAAATTTATGAGCATAAAATAGATAATAACTAATAACAAATTCAGTGCTTGAACGGAGACAGGCTTAACTTGCTTGAAAGAAAAAGACAAGAGGTTTACATGAGGAAAAAAAATGGCCGTTTGGTAAACAGTGACACTTTCCCTTCAGGCTCATGAATATGGCAAACATGTTAACCTACTAATCCTAGAGTCCTTGACATACCTTGGTGAAGCAAGCCAAGTGGAAATTTGCCTCCTGGAAGAAAAGAATTTAAAATGAACGTTAACTGGATGCAGTGTGTTTTCACCGCAATGGGTAGGATTTTATCGCGTTTCAAAGATGGTTAGGCTTACATTTGGCAGGTATACTTTGTGTCTGAGGATACTGCGTCCATACGGTAATAACGTCAAATAAACAATGGGGCGTTTTGCTGGGTGAAGGGGATTACTGTGGGAGTGTTTACAAATAACCAAAAGAACAAATGCAACAACAAACACAAAGCAAACCTTAGCTATCTGAGGCTGGTCCTTCAGTCTGCTGATGATCTGTGGTACAAACGCTTGTAGGAAATTCTCTAAACAGCGATTATAGCTTTCTGGGAACCAGCTCTCACGGTTCATTCTCTGTAAAGTAACAAGCACGAAGCGTAAGCCATCGATACACCACTTTTAAGGAAAATAATAACTACAAACCGTATCGTCCTTGAGATAGAAATAACTTAACTCCTTTTCACGCGCTTGAGAGGCTGATTACGGCAATTCGCGTGCTCTCAGCTCGTTTGGGCACAGGCTTGTGATAGTCAATGAAAAGATATGGAGAGAGGATGGGAATAGAACTATTCCACTTTCGAAAGCTATAAAGTCTGCATGTCAAATTTAAAAAGGCGGAAGCAAAGAATCGATTCGCCGCCACAAAAAACAACAACAACAACAACAACAACAACAACAACAGAAAACAAAACAAAAAGCAAAGTGGCTGGCGTAACACATTACCAGCGTGATTTTAGACTAAGCGACAATGCAAAACGAGGAATGACACAGCATGCTTAGAGAGACGTACACAAAAAAGATTTACCTTCAACTTGTCTGATTGTACGAGTGTCTGTGCCATGCTTTTGACAATTATCTCGAAGAAAAACCACGACAGCTGTAAAAGTAAATAGGTAAATTACTCACTATACCG